TTGCCTTTTAAATAAAATTTTTATATTTTTATTATTTTTTTATTATTATTATTATTATTATTGTGATTACTATTCATTCTTTAATATTAAAATAGAATCAAAGACAGTCTTCATAGCCGCCGTCTGCCAACCCACCTCCGATTATTCTGCCGTTGTTATTCGTACTGCGGTTTTTGCTTTGTTCCTCTTTTCCGTGCTTCCACTGTAATTTTAGCTTCAATGAACGATACGCGGCCCGGCAATTAGGTTCGCTCAAGTTTGGCTGGATTTGCGCCTGCGCACACTTTTTCCTAGAATTTTAATTTGAGTAATAACAAATTGAGCTGACTTCATAACTGCTCACTTGATTGTAAGTAGTCTTGGATATATAACAAGTACCCACAAGTTGTTATTGCTCCAACGTCTGCCTGTCTGGAGATGAAACACATTCAACTTCAACATAATTATTGTTTTGAACTTCGGAAGGCGTTTTGATTCGGACGAAATTAAAAGGAAACCGCTTTGAGATACCAATTAGACTGGTCTCTCACATTTTCGTAGTGCATGGAGATGTGAAAATGTACTACAGTTCATAAAAGCTTACTTGGAAAATAACTTAAAAATACTCGTATAAGATAACCGTATAAGATATACGGTATTAAGTAGAATATTTGCTAAAATATACATAGAATTCGAAATCCGTTATTAATGATGAAGTTCTATATATAAATTGATTTTAATATCTTACTTCTCATACAATTCATTAATTAGGTATAAATAGATAGATAGTCAAAAGTATATTTCTGGGTACAGACTTTTTTTCATTGCGCTTAAATCGATTAATACTCGTACAGAATCCTACCTCAAACGAACTTTTAATTTCACCGATGACGAAATATTTATTTACCCGCGCTGATCACGGGTTTTCGAATTACTTGACCTTATTACGTTATGGTGGTTATAGTTTTCGAAAATACAAAACCTAACTCTTAATATTTTTATGCAAAGAAAAGAGCAAGACTTCAATTTGTTAATGGAAAATTTGGGAAAACTATTACCACCATAAGACAATGAGGTTAAGTAGTAAGAATCACAGTATCTTGTGATAAACTCAGCGAAAACTTACGCCAGAGTATCTATAGGTGAAATGAAAAGATCGCTTGAAACTTAATTCTGTATTTACCGATTTAATAGCAATAGAATCAAGTCCGTAGCCAGTAAATTATTTTGGAACAGGCTTTCAAACAATTTCAATAATTAAAAAAGTCAGTGACTTTCAAATTGCAAAATCACTTCCTTAACATAGCTCAGAATTGCTCAAAAAAGTTAATGGAGCTATGTAACCATATAAGTTTTAAAAGAGCAACAAAAAACTCAAACAGCTAACATGACATTCAGCTTTTAAGTAATTATGAAGATCTGAAAAATATATATATCAGTAAAAAAATATATATTAGATATATTGATTATATATACATTTTTTTCTATTTCTTGAAGTCGTTATAGTAGCTTCTGCTCAAAAAGTATCCGGATTTTGTTGTTTGTTAACTATTCCTTAAGTAATATACTTTTTTCAAAAATTTTTTTGTTTTTTTGTTATGTTGGTACACCCTTTCTTGATATATGGTACAAATCTGAGCGCCATCTGTCATCGCATTTAGCGATTTTTACTATGAAAAATTCTTGTTGTATGCAATTTTTTTGACCAAACACGGCACCACTGTCAGCGCTCAGGCACTATATTCCCCAGATCTGGCGCCGTGCGATTTTTTCCTATTCCTGAAACTCAAATTGCCCCTTCGTGGTAAGCGTTTTGAGTCGATTGAATCGGTAAAAGAGAATTCGCTGAAGGAACTAAAAGCCATACCTTCACGGGCCTACAAAAAATGTATGGAAGATTGGGTTAAGCGTTGGGATATGTGTTTCGCTTCAGGAGCATATTTTGAATTAGATAAAATAAATTTGGAATAAAATTTAAATTTGTGTGTTTAATTTACAAAATCCGAATACTTTATGAGTAGAAGGTATATAGTTTTATAGAATTACTTGTTTCGTTTAACGGCATTTCGCTAAGGCCGTTAAGCGAGGTATAGATGTACTTTATCTATACTTCATATATATAAATATACATAACTACTAAATTATTTCTAAGACCGTATGTTCTCATTGATATGAAGAAATCGCTATGTTTATTAGGTAGAAGACAATTCTATGAAATATTTTCCAATCTATTAAACACTAAGTGCTGGTTTTTATAATATATAATATATTATATATTTAATTAAAAATTTAATGGTTTCCTTAATGTTCTTTGGTGCTACAGTTTATGGCAGCCATAAACATGCGAATTTACATACAAAAATTTCAATTTTCTGCAGAATTTGCTGAGCACAAGTAACAGGTTATTTAGAATTAACACTATAAGTTGATGTTATTAGTATATATTTTTTATTATTATTAAAGATATTTAATGACCATAAATTGTCTTTCTACTATCCGAAACTGTGAAACAACTGTTCAGCCTACATGAAATATGGAAATTATCTATTCTATTCGTAGGCTTAATATTTTGAGTTTGACTTTGACTTTGTAGCTGACTAAATGAAGTTTATTATTAACACTATTAATTTGTTGATAATTACTTGGAACGGTTTGAGTTATTACCTCATCTAAATTAGAAGAGAAAACAAAGTAATCAATACGCGACTTGGAGGCATCAGTCTGACCCATTACTTTAGCCACTTTAAGTCATGTGTATGAAACACACTTTTTAGGTGCCTAATAAGGAAATTGTGAGTGCATAAATTATTGGTAAACCAAACCTGAATGTCTACAAATTTGTTGGCCAATGTGTTAAAATTGCTTAAGCTTCAATCAAAACATATTCAGACCACAACTAAAATCATTTGTCATCATTAAAAATTTATCAAATTATAACTGTTCCTTTCTGCTGCAACTACTTTATTTGCATAAATGCATATCTCATCCACAACGCAGCCAGTGTAAATATTTCTGGTCTGCCAGAGATGTTCTTTGGGTATTTTGTTTGCTCCTCTTGCGATGGTTCTTCATGGCATTTTATTTGGATTCATGTCAATTGCTGCAACCATTTTTGATAAATAACCACAACGTGCCACACCGTGGTAATGTCTTTATTAGTCTTCCTTTCATTCATGTTCAGTGGTCTGCTTGCTTCGGCCACTCCGACCACGCCGACTGCTCCGACTATGAGTGGAGCTCCGTATGCGCCATGACTGGTTGCGACTGTTGTGGCAGGTTGGCTGCGTTTATAGTTTGGCTGGCTTCACCGTCTTCAACATCTTCAATGCATTTTTATCTTTGGAACACCAGCAAAATTTTATTGACGATGTCGATGTCGAAGTCGATGTTGTTATCGTTGTCGCTGTCGCTGTCGTTGTCGTTGTCGTTGTTGTTGTCGTTGTCGCTGTATTTGTTGCTAACTTTTGTTGTTGTACCTGCTGTTATTGATGTTGCCATTGCTGTTGCTGTTGCTGTTACGATTGCTCTGGGTGCTCCTGTTATTACTCCTTTTTGATTTTACTGAAGCGTAGGCGTTTTCGTTATATTTGCCAACGTCTTCACTTCTTTTGCCTTTGCATATATTTTTGCGGTTTACTTTTATCTTTTATTTGCACTTCAATATTTACTTTTACCCCATTTTACGTATACTCTTTTTCCATTCATATCCATTGTTGCAGAGTTGTTCCTTTTGGCATGTTGCACCTTAAAATTTTGATTTATTGCAAAATTGCTTGGAAATGTTGTGAGAGCAGCAGACCTTAAACCAATTTGTTTGCTGGCAACATATGTTAACAGTTAAGAAAACACTGCCAGAAGATATATGCGAAAATTTGTGGAATATGGAGCGTGTGGAGTATGGAGTGTGTGGAGTGGGAAGTACTTGTAACTGTCGGAGCCGTTTTTATTGCATTTTAATATTTCTCAAATTAAGGTAACTCAGACAGACATACAGACTCATAGATAACAGAATTCATAGGCAGACAGACGGACTTAAAACAGATTATTATTATTTTTATTTCAAAAATTGTAAGTGGATAGCAATGTAAAATAATACTATACCTAAAACTATTATCATTGATTATTTTATTATAAATAAATGAAATTGTTCAAGCACCGTTAAAAATCTATATCTTTAATTGGTTACTCCTGCAAAGCCTCTTTTAAATATCATTTTAAGCTTTGAAAAAGGTTCAAGATGGTCTTCAAAATCTCTGAGGTCTTTCCTTAAATGATAACACAATAGACCAATAGACCTAAGGGGATTTATTTCGATTGCGGTTCAAGATAGTTTTAAGCCTCTAAGTCTTTCCCTTATATGGTAACACAATACCGCAATAGGCTTAAGAGGATTTATTTCGTTCACTGAAACAACCGAAGCTAACCTAGATTTTATACTCTATACAGCCTAGCCTAATAGTAACGAATCATAAAATACATTCTGTCAAATAAACTACTGATACTTTATGATTAAAAGCTAACACGTATACAATTTTTTTAAATCTTTATCGATAGTAGGT